CCACGACCGGAAGTTGTTCGAAGTCGGCCCTTGTTCCGACTGAATGTGCAGAGACCCCATGAGGAACGGGATCCACGACCGAGAGTTGTTCGAAGTCGATCCTGTTCCGACTGGGTGCGCGAATATACCTGATAACCGATAAAATTGTGCAAACAGAGCTCTATAGACATCTTTTTTTTTGTTCGATTGTTGGACTTGAATGATATTCTTTGCTTGTTGTGATTTGACCTGAAAGACCAGTTTCGTTTCCAGAGACATTGAGTCTTTTGAACAGGTTGAGCGGCAACAAGTGGGACCAAATGAAAGTGGACACCACGCAATGGAATTCCAGGAGGCCGGCATGTCGATGCCACATATAGTCACCAGCCACGAAGTTACAAGTATCGGCGAAAAGCTGTGAATTGGCTATTGCAAAGTGTCGTGACCAAACTGATTAGAAGGACCTGGGTCCACGACCGGAAGTTGTCCGAAGTCGACCCTTGTTCCAGCTGAACGTGCAGAGACTCCACAAGGCACGAGATCCACGACCGAGAGTTGTTCGAAGTCGATCCTGTTCCGACTGGGTGTGCAACTATATCTGATAACCGACAAAACAACATGAGTTGAACTGTGGGTAATTTGTTTTGTTTTTCAAGTGTTGCATTTGTATGAGCATTGGTTGTCCTGATGCCAGGTTGGGACGTGCGATTTCACACACTTCGGCGGCTCTTACTACCGGGACTAGCGTTTGAGCTCGACCGGCGCTGGATAAAAAAGAATCGACCGGGACTACCGTTTGGGCTCCGAAGTACAGTGCAACAGAATATACATTAATAGATTTGGTAATAACGTGATAATAGTATCATAATCATAATGTATATATATATATAGATATATATATATATATTATATATTGTGTCATCTCATCATCATCTCATTTTGTTTCATCTTAATGTTTTGAATCATCATATATCATCTCTTCATTTCTTTAGTGCTCATTCATCTTCTGTTACTTCGCTTTTCTTCCCTTCTATTTGTTCTCTTCCGCCTACTTGCTTTCGGGCCACCCTGTCGTCTAGTTTTTGATCTTTTTCCCGAATGCGTAGCGAAGGGTTCTCGTTTAACTCTGGGGGTCTGGGGGTAGAGTCTTGTTCGCGATCCGTTGCTTCTATGTTCGCAACCGTCCGCAACCGTCCGCAACCGTCCGCAACCGTCCGCAACCGTTCGCAACCGGTCGCAACCGTTCGCAACCGTTCGCAACCGTTCGCAACCGTTCGCAGTAGGACGCTAAGGCGCTGCCATTGGGGGACGCTTTTGCAAGTGACTTTTCATGGATGTGTCACGTGTCAGTTTGCGACGCTATTCCATTGTGATTTGCATGAAAATGACATGCCGCGCAAGAAGCGTGACGCATTTCGCTGCACAGGCGCAGCGTTTTGTGAGATCCTCAGTTCGCTACGCAGTTCCATTGGGATTAGCGTTTGGAGAGTCGTGTTTTTGGGGTGTTGGATGTGGCCGTGCCATTGGGATTTGCGTTTCAGGGTGTGGCATCGAAGCTCTGTTTTCGTGACAAGTCTCAGCTGAAATGGCGATTTTGGTGGATGGGAGTGTGCTCAGAACGGATCGAAATCATTCCAAACGTGTGGTGTGGTGCAAATTTTGTTGAAGCTCACATGAGATGATATTGTCACTTTTCGTGGCAGGCGCAGTACTTTGTGCGGGTTTTGAGGCATGGAAGTGTGATTCTCGTGGCAGGCGCAGGGAATCGTGAGGTTGCGAGGTGTGACGGAGGTGACATTGCGTGGCAGGCGCAGTACTTTGTGCGCGTTAGACGTGTGGACGCGGAAAGATGCGTGGCAGGCGCAGAGAATCGTAAGGTTGTGAGTTGTGGTAGAGGTGACTGTCGTTGTCTCATTGGGATTGGCGTGTGAGCGGGTGTTGTTTGGAGGGGCTGGAATCGCGAAACTGCTTGGCAGGGCTGCGTGATGTGTGTGCTCCGATGGGTGTTTCCGCTTGACTTTTGGAGGAAGTCTCGTACGAAACGCTCGTTTTGGAGACTTTGACGCGTGAGTTTTTGAGGAAGTCTCGTACGAAACGCTCGTTTTGGAGAGTTGACACGTGACTTTTGGAGGAAGTCTCGTACGAAACGCTCGTTTTGGAGACTTGACGTGTGACTTTTGGAGGAGGTCTCGTACGAAACGCTCCGTTTTGGAGACTTGACGCGTGACTTTAGGAGGAAGTCTCGTACGAAACGCTCGTCTTGCAGCCTCGAAGCGTGACTTTTGGAGGAAGTCTCGTACGAAACGCTCGCGTGACTGCTTCTAGTGTGTGGGCGGACCGTGTCGCGACACGAGTGTCCCACAAGAGTGTCCCACAAGAGTGTTCCACAAGAGTGTCCCGCAACCGTGTCCCACAAGAGTGTCTCACAAGAGTGTCCCTTAAGAGTGTCCCACAAGAGTGTCCTATAAGAGTGCCCCACAAGAGTGTCCTACAAGAGTGTCCCACAAGAGTTTCCTACAAGAGTGTCACACAAGAGTGTCCCACAAGAGTGTCCCACAAGAGTGTCCTACAAGAGTGTCCTACAAGAGTGTCCCACAACAGTGTCCTGTAAGACTGACCCACAAGAGTGTCCTACAAGAGTGTGTCACAAGACTCTCCCACAAGAATGTCCGACAAGAGTGTCCCATAAGAGTGACCCACAAGAGTGCTTTTGAGAGTGTCCCACAAAGAGTGTCCTACAAGAGTGTCGTGTAAGAGTGACCCACAAGAGTGTCCTACAAGAGTGTCCCGCAAGAGTGCCCCATAAGAGTGGCCCACAAGAGTGTCCTACAAGAGTGTCCCACAAGAGTGTCCTACAAGAGTGTCCCGCAAGAGTGTCCTACAAGAGTGTCCCAAGGCAGTCCCCCGCAAGAGTTTCCTACAAGAGTGTCCTACAAGAGTGTCCCACAAGAGTGTCCCAGAAGAGTGTCCTACAAGAGTGTCCCAAAACAGTGCCCCGCAAGAGTTTCCTACAAGAGTGACCCACAAGAGTGTCCTACAAGAGTGTCCCACAAGAGTTTTCCACAACAGTGGCCTATACGAGTGTCCCACAAGAGTGTCCTACAAGAGTGTCCCACAAGAGTTTCCTACAAGAGTGACCCACAAGAGTGTCCTATAAGAGTGCCCCACAAGAGTGTCTTACAAGAGTGTCCCACAAGAGTTTCCTACAAGAGTGTCCTATAACAGTGTCCCACAAGAGTGTCCCACAAGAGTGTCTCACAAGAGTGTCCCACAAGAGTGTCCTACAAGAGTGTCTCACAAGAGTGTCCTACGAGAGTGTCCCACAA